GTTTCTGTAGTATTGTTGTATAATGTTACACAGTTTTGAGTAAGCTGAGCCCACACAGTCCTTGCTGTAAGCTTTTCAGTAACATTTAAATGATTAAAAATGTTACAGATTTAGGCTGGAGTGACATTTCTATTAGACTCAGCATATGTTGTTGTGTTTTTCCCTTTGTTTACCAGATTCAATACAGTTTATTTCTGATGAAGTGATGATTTTAAATATTTGTTAAATACAGACAGTTTAAAGTGGTCTTTGCCATTGGAAAAAGCTGGATACTGTTAAGACATGGTTTCCAGGCAAGACAGGGTACAGGTTTTTAAGCATGTGTCAGATGTTATGACCCAGAATGAACACTATTACTATTTTAACTACACCCCTCTGGGACGTTGCCCAGTGTCCCCCAATAGGAGCTCTGGGTGAGTGGACGCTCAGTGGGTTAAAGGTCAACACTGATCCTCCGGGTCAGTTATGCGTCTCCCCTTGAAACCCCTGACTAAGACGATAGCTTACAGCTTATCGCCGGGGTGGTACCCTCTAAAGTGTGACTGTTTCTGGTATATCAGTAAGGAAGCTGACTAAATATTAACTGATAATTTATGGCAAAGGGGTGGGATTAAATAAGTGTTTACTTCTTCCCACTCAACATGTAAATTAATAACTTTTTTTGTATGTAATTTGTACAGTATTTTTTTTCTCTTTATTTTCTTTTCTAAATGTACTTGTATATTGTTCACATGTTGAAATAAATTACCAATCAATCAATCAATTTGTACTTTACAGAAAGAAGTTTTGAACTTTTACTTTTAAAATCCTTCGTTGCAAATAAACATACGAGTCACAGAATGAAACCTGTCACACTGCACCGAATGCTTTTCCATCCAATGATCTGTTTTCTTAACCAGCTTAACTTAAATATACTTTGGAGTAAAAAGTATTTCTGTTTGAAATGCTGAGGAGTAGAAACACGCAGGTAACTGAAAGTAGAAATGTAGGACACCGAGGTGACGCCTTTGTTTTTAAATGATCCGTAGCGATAAGACGTTTTTTATTTGTAATGTCTTATCAGGTAGACGTGACCATCTCATCCCTTTACAGGTCAGACCACTCAGGGTGAAGGTTTCATGTATTTTGCTCTGATAGTTGTTTTGTTTTATTTGTCCTTACCATACAGGAGAACCTGAACATTAACCCCAACGTGGATGCTAAGAAGTTAAACTGAGGTCTTCTGTTGCTGTGCATCAGCCCATAGATGTGCTCCAATCTTTACAAAGCTTGACTTCTTTTTTTACATTAAAAATGAAAAAGAGATTTCGTCCTGTGATAGAACAACCTGGTCCAGGGCGTGCAGCGGGGATAGCTCAGGCTCTCTTGTGACCCTGAACTGAACCAATTTGACTCAAGAGAAATGTCTGTGGTTTTGTACAAAAGACTCACCTGCAATTCTTAACACCGGGATTTTTAATTCCCTGCTGCCCTGTACAAACACTTCCCATCTGACATCACTCACGTCTTTACTTCTTGCTGCTGAAATTAAAAAGCCTGATCCTGAAACAGGCCATCAAAATAAAGTTTTCCATGTGCTGATTTTAATTTTTTTCACTCACTGCTTGTTGCATACATTCCTGATCCACCCGACATCAAAGTGATGGACGACACGCTGCAACAGATCCTCCCCAATCAGCCAGAAAAATGCCACAAAGGGCGTGACGCCCGTGTTTGTCAAACAGGCTTGTCATCCTAAAAATCCCGATATGCACAGCTGAGAGGAAGTTGCTCAATCCGCCCTGTTAGCAGGTGTGTTTACACGGTTAAAGGGGATCGGGTGTCTAAATGAAGCATGAGGGCTTCTGAAAAGAAATAAGCAGCAGGTGTGTATCAGTAGAGGACAATCTCAAATATGCCTTTATTTGATGGATATGTTGAGAAATACTTGCAAATATATAAATCATCTGTGGCGTCTGTATGTACAATGGGTTTGGACTAGAAACAAAATTAGTTAAGAACTATAAACTCTGGTTTGCGAGATCAGCGTTCAATCCAGAGATCTCCCCAACCTTTCATCACAGAGTGTCGTGCATTTCAACATTTACAGCTTACTTGATCTGTGCACAAGGTTCCTTGATTGTGTTCAGCCGCTCTCACGGTGAACGCAAACACCTTCAGAAAAGAATAAAAACAGGAAACACATCAGTCCCTTTTCCCTCATGTGCACCTGACAGTTCTTTTGTTTTTAAAAAATGTTGCTCTCCTGGTTTTCCTTCATTTCTCCACGTGACAAAGCTTGAAGGAGCTCAGTTTGTACTTCATTATAAACACAAGGTGTGCAAAGAGGAACAAGGGTCACTGGAAGTTTTGTGTGATTCTCTCTCCTTGTCCACTTCATCTCCCCACCATCACCCTTCACTGTCCTGTTCTTGACATGGACGCATCTCTACTTCACGGTTTGTGTTGTGAAGTGTTGTTTGATTGAGGTGGACGTGGGGTGGGAATGTTGTTGCTCAACGACACAGTGGGTATGATCACAAAAGCCAGAATTCCCAGCAGCATGAGCGCCACAGTGATGGCGATGATGGTCGCAACCACTGCGTAGTAGCACTGATCTGAACGGAACATCCTGCGCAGGCGACCCCTCATCCTGTTCGGAGGTCTGCCTACATCCACCACAGTGGTCGGGGTGATCCCCTGCTCCATTGCACTTAGCTGGAGGTTCCTGCTTGGTGCCGCCTGAGTGTCCTGACTCTTGGTAGGCAGGCTGACGACATTAGGCCTGCTCGGGCTGTTGGGAGGAGGGTTCTTCAGCATCAGCTTACCCTGGCTGCGCTTAAAGCGGATGGACAGCGCCCGCTGCATGTCTGAAGGGAGTTTGCTGATGATGTCCCGATTGTTTCCCAGACGGGGCAGGTCCCGGCCACGAGGAAGCTCGGTCACCTCTCGGCACACGGGGCAGGACAGGGTCTTGAGCTCAGGTGAGGTGACGTTGATGCGAGCCAGGCACTCCAGACAGAAGGTGTGCCCGCACGCCAGCAGCTTTGGGGTCTTGAAGACATTATCGTAAGTGCAGAAGCACACAGCGCACTCTGTGTCCTCCACGTCATTTTCAGGGGGTTTCATCCTTCTCCGATCGCTCTCTCCGTCTCTCCGGCGCCGCCCGCGGCCATCCTCGCTCCTTCCACGATGCCTCCTTTCTCCATGGTTCCTGTCTGACTCTCTTCTCCTCCCTCTTTCCGTCCTCTCAGAGTCAGAACTCCTCGATCTCCTCACTCTTGATGGTTTCTCTTTTTTCCGGTGCTCCTCCTTGCTGTTCCTGTCATTCTGTCCGAGTTTGGGTTTGACGTTAGGGGCCTGGGGCTGCCTGGCTCCATGGCTCTCTTCAGCCCTGCCGTTTCCCTCCCCACCATCACTCATACTGGAGCGATGTCAGAGGAAAAGTGCCGTCTGGAATTTGACTCCTACCAGTTTCCCAACAGCTGCTGTGGAAAATTAAACCTCAGATGAGTTTATTGGCTCCCAAAAACAAGCAGAGTAGGAAGTGAGCCACAGGGATTTACCTGCAGTCACCACTGCTGCTTCACGGTGATGAAGCAAGAACGCCTAATCGCTGGCTGACATCTCCATTGTATTAAAATGCTGTTGTTATTCAACATGTATGTGCTGCTTTAGTCTTGACAATTGATAAGTTGCTGTATTTGTTTAGTAGGTTTTCCTGCACAGAAATTGTGAGGAAACATGAGCCGGGAGTGCGTCAAGTGGAGGCTGGAATTCCGAGAAGCAAAACTGGGATTTCTTTGTAACACTGTAGCAAATTTTCCATTGTACCGAGTAAATTTACTTTTTAAAAAAAAGTTTTAACACCAACAAGAGGCTCAGAATTCACATTGTTCACATTTGTTAAAAAAAAAAAAGCAGCGCAGACACGTTGGCAAAGTTGCAAGAATTCCCACTTCAGACTTTTTATGATTTCATGACTTTCAAACGGAAGCTGGTAAGTAAAAAAGAATTGGTGCACACTGACCTGTGAGGTAGATGACTGCCGGATCAGTTCGTCAGAGTTGATCTGACATGTCGTGTCAGTGCAGTCAACACTGCTCATGACTAAACGTCAGAACTAAAAACAGTGACTGTTTCGATCTTCCTGCTTCCTTCTATTCTTATCTTTGCTCTTATATCTACTTTTCTAATTGAGGACTCAGCATTGTCTCCTCCTCCTCTGAACCCTCCCCCTTTGCCACACTGCCTCCCGCCCTCCTTTTTCTCGTCAGACCAGTTCAACCAGCTGCAGAGGCCCAGTGCTGCTGCTATTGTTTTCATTAGTTTCTCTCTGTGTGGACTTTATAGATACTTTAGTTATTTACTTAAATGAGCCCCACGTGGCCGCTCACGCTGAAAGAAGATGCATGAAAGTGACATTGCTCCCCAGAGAATCAAACTAATGTCTCCCTCGAGTCCAGACAAACCCAGTGTCACATATCAGATCAGGTACCTGTAGCATCACATGATAGAAGCACGTTTTGTCTCGCCGTTTCTGATTCTTAGTGTGATACAAGTCATGAAAGACAACAATCACCGCCAGGAAAATTCCACTCCGGCTCCATAAAGAGGATGACAATGCATCTTTGTGAACACACAGCATATCAGCATGTCATATTTGTCATTCCTCTGCCACAGTCTTGTCACTTCATGGTTTTACAACTCAAACAAGATCAGCTACATAGCTTTTCCTCACTCCACAGGCCTGCAGGGGCTCACTCTGTGCCTGAGAGCCACACAGCTCGAGACAATAACTACACCAGATTCAAGTCTTTGACATTAAATGCTCAGGATTTTCTGTGAGTCTGTTGTGGCGAGTCCAATCCTCTACGCCGCTGCATGCTGGGGGAGTAGATTGAGGGTTGCTGATGCTAACAGACTCAAACTGATCCGCAAGGCCAGAAATGTTGTGGGGATGGAGCTGGACTCTCTTAAGGTGGTCTCGGAGAGGCGGATGTTGTCCAAGATAAAGACAATGTTGGATAACTCCTCCCACCCACTCCATGACATGCTGGCCAGTCACAGGAGCTCGTTCAGTGAGACTGAGATGACCGAAAAGCACCACTGACCGACACAGGAAGTCATTCCTGCCTGTGGCTCCCTGTACAACTCATCCACTTAACACACTGTTTACTGCTACAGCTGCACCCTTTTGCACATCATGCTCTTCTTTCTTATTCAGCCATTTATCAATAAGTAACTTATATGTATATATTGTGCCATTTCTTACTGTTTGTACTGGAGCACTGTAACCAAAATATTTTCCCTTATGGATCAATAAAGTACTCCCGAGTCTGAAGATTAACAGTGCAGCACAACTGCACATCGTAGAGTTGTGTTTGTCAAACAGCTCAACAATCTTCTGAAAACACGTCACGCTTTATATAATAAAAACATGAGCATCCCTGAACGCACATAAAAGTCAGCGTAATATGCCTTGTTTTGGCGTAAACAATCAAATAAAATACACCCCTTACAAACCAGAGGCGTGGGCGTGACGGAGGCCTTTCTGACATTAAAACTTCTTCTTCCGATTGTGAATTTCCTGAAAATAAAACCAGACGAGCAAACAAGTTGAAAAGGCTGCAAATACTACTGCGATGAGTAATTATTAAGCTGAAAAACAAATCGATTGTAAAACTTTATTGCCATAGAAAAATAGAACAAAAAAAGAAAAGAAAAGGAAAGGAGCCCCACACGTGAGCGTGCTTTAATCGGGTGCCAGCTGTGACAGTTTGACACAGAGTGAACAAGCGAGCGGTCAGAGGCACGCACTCAAAGCACAACAGTCTCGTGCTGATTCACAAACCAGCTGGTGAGTCCGCACTGCTGCCATCAGAGTGGGAAACACAGATCCAAGCGTGTTCGTTTTTCCTTTTCGGAGACGCAGCTCTGCCGGCTGGTTGATGATTAAACCAGAGTGGGTGCGTGGCCCACTTCCCACTCGACCTTTCTCTCTTTCCGTTTTGAAAATAGAAACTTGTTTGAAAATACTGGTGTGATTTGAATAATGCAGTTCAAATTTGCAACTGACAGTCGATCGCTGTCAAAACACAAGTTACAGCTTAGAAATATGGTGTGTTTTCCATTTTCACTCAGACTCGTGCGCCTCGTCCCGTCACGCTGTCCTGAGTGAGAAGCACTTTTTTTTTTCATGGTCTGTGCCGTGGACGGCCTCGACCTTCACTTCAGCCCAGCTCCTCTTTTGTTTTGCCCTGCTTACGGGGCATCTTCTTGCTGCTGCTGTCCTCCAGCTCTTTGCTCTTGTAGTAGTGAGGGGCCACTTCAAGCAGCCAGCCGCTCTCTATCTCGATCACCTGAGTGCAACAGAGGACAGAAGGCGAGTGGAGGTTAATCAGTGGACTGATACGCAGCCATGCCTGAAGTTAAATATTGTTCTGAAACACCGACACATCCTCATTAACCACTCGTACTAAACTCAAAGAAGGGTGCAGCCGGCTTCTTTAGATCTGAAACAAGATAAAGGCTCATGCTGTGACAAACAACAGAAAGCGCTGCAAACATTTGAGTTAGACGCCTGTTGGGAATAAAACAGTCACGGAAAAGACGACGACATGCTCGTTCTGAGATTTTGTGCATAGTCATCTGGCTCTTAGCAACTTCTAAAATTATTTAAACACAGCCTGAAATGGACAACAGCATGGCACATTACACTGTGTTACTATTCATTTGACAAAACTAAGCATTTAAAATGCATTAGCAACAGAGATGGGCAGTACTGTAATCCGATTACTTTTTTCAAGTAACGAGTACAGTAAGGGATTACTATTGCAAAAACGGTAATTAGATTACCGTTACTTTCCCGTAGGAACGCTGCGTTACTGCGTTACTAAAACCGTGATTTTTTTGCGAGAATGTCTCATGACAGTGACGTAAGCGAGTGCGACGTTCGTGACAACAGCTGTGTGCAGATCAACAATGGATCATATATCGAGTGCAGAGAGAGTATGAGCGTGCAGCGTTTAAAGCGTGGAAGTACTGACCTTACTTTGAGTTTGATTCCATAAAAAGTGACAAAAAAATTAGTGTCCGTTGTGCGTGGGAAGAAAACGTGGAAGCGAAAAACCCCTAAACTTCCAAACAAGCACCGAGTAGCTACGACGTAATGGGAAACTCACAGAGAAACTCGCGGATTCTTCCACTGACCGCTGCACACCTGCACCAGGGTAAACCTCCGCCTACCTCACTCCTGCTTTACAGGTGAAAATAGAGCAACAGCACCGCTAGTCTTTGACTTTATTTATTTTCTGCTGTGTTTTACTTGCATCTATTTGAAAGACTGAGTGTAAACACACAAAATATTTTATTTTATGTGCTGGAATGTGCAGAAAATAGGTTTAAATGTTAAACTAATTTCTTCCAGTCAGAGAATGTTGCAGATAATTAAATGTTTGCTTGATGCATAAAGTTAAAAGATTAAAACTAATAAAACAAGTTTTAAAAAGAGACTTTTCCATTTGATTACATTTTGTATGATGGATTATGCAGAAAAAGTAGAATTGGGCTGAAAGATCTATCACTTTATCACCTATTCAGGTTGTAAATCGTGTTTCTAAAAAGTAACTAAGTAATTAATTACTTTTGAAAATAAGTAATCAGTAAAGTAACGGGATTACTTTTTTGGGGAAGTAATCAGTAATTAGTTACTGATTACTTTTTTCAAGTAACTTGACCAACACTGATTAGCAGTGTGAAAAAGAACAACCCTACTGCAGCCAGGAGCCACTAATCAAATACACTTGATTAACCGATTATTATTTACCTCATGGGGGACCAGCTGAGAGTCGCTGATATGTAAAAGCTTATAAGTGAAAAAGTAAAACTGCATCACATGGCGAGCAGGCCAACCTGTCTCATGAACTCCTTGGTGGTGAAGACCAGCTCATGGTAGATGAGCCAGCGGGGCTGCTCCTCAAACAGAGAGCTGTTGGGGTGCACGTAAACAGTCTGCTGGTGCTTCACAGTCTTGTAGCCTCCTTTGCTCAGTCTGGCCGTGTGATAGAAATATCCTGCAGTCACCGCCTGCAGGAAGGGGAGGATAAGAGGCAGAGGAGGGCAGATGGGTTAATAAAGCTCTGCAGGGACGAACAACAAGAAAAATACACAAGCGCTGGGCACAAAAAAGAACGGCGTTAGAATATAACGCAACGAACAAAGTGTGATTAGAATAAAACATTTACTCTTTATTAGAAGATTAATTGCTTATTAGAAGAACTCGTGTCTGAAAGGAGATACTGGGGAGCTGCAGCCCAAAACAAACTTCCCATAACTGAGCTCAAGACTTTGTGACACAAACAGCAGATAACGTATGTGGAGGGAAGAGAAGAGTCTTCACAAATTTCCGTGTTTGCTACCTCCACATTAAGAAGTTACTAACCACACAAAACAACCAGCCATAAAGACAACAATGTCTTACTTTGCTGGTTTGATGAACAATAATGAGCACAATCTGAGCCTCGTGGTTAACACCATTATCAGACTCGTTAATCCTGCTATGTCTGCTTTTCCTGCTGTATCTTCCAATGACTGTGGAAAAAATTCAAATTCAAGTGTGTATCCTTTCAACCTGCCCAAGTGTCTCATCCAGTTATGTTATGTTTGAGTTTAATCCGATTTCCCCAACAGATCTCATTGATATCGTTTGTCATATGTGCCCATCTTTCTGCAAACTCGATATTATCCTAAAGAGATTCTACCCGTCATCTTCCAATAGCTTCTCACAGTTATCAAACAATCACAGCCAACATCTTCCGTGTGCTTAAAAAAACCCTCCCGAGTTGCCGGGTTTCAGATAACCACAGGTCCATTCACTTCCAAAATTCTCCAGGAAGCAGCTGCTCATCAGCTCCTTCAGCTCGTTGAGGAAAACAAATAATAAATTCCAATCTGATTACCAAAGAAACACAGCAGTGAAACAGCATTACTGAAAATTACCAGTGACAACAGTGAATTTTAGTCCTACTAGACGCTAACCCCACCTTTGAGACCACTGATGATGCAGATTACAGAGCTGAGCCAGCGTCACTGGCTCTCTTAATGGTTTTCACACTTATTTGAATTCACATGAACAACTGTATGTTCTCATTTACATCCCACATATCTGGAGCCC